GCTGTGGTGAGCGGTGTGTGCTGGATTGGGGGAAAGGTGTTTGCCTGCTTTTTAAAAGTCACAGTTTTTGTAGCTGGTGACTTATTTTTTTTATTTTGACTTGAACTCTGCTTTTAGGTGCAATAGGCAGCTGACAGGCCATGATGCTTCGCTTCACGCCCAATGCAAAGTTCACTTGGCCTGTCCTTGGGTGGCAAGCTCAGCGAACGCTACACAGTCTATAGCAAATACTTAAGCCCCGCAAACGCTCTGCAACCGTGTGCAATGCATGTGGTTGCGGCATGATTGTTGACACAAATGGGGTTAAAACAGGCAGTGAGGAGGGGGTTTTGTACCGCTTTTCACCACCCTGTCAGTAGCCTCTGGCGCGCGATATAAATGCATATAAGTCTTTAGAGGCAAGGGAGATTTAGACGCATTTCTAAATTAATATTATAATTATACAGGATTTATATAGCCCCAACAGTTTGCTCAGCACTTTACAATATAAGGGACACAATACAGCAACAATACAAGAGGGTTAGGAGGGCCCTGCTCCTTGGAGCTTACAATCTAAGAGATCTACCCTTAGTGTTTGGAAGTCACTTAAAATGTAGGGTACCACAATGGACGTAACAAATGTGTTACCACAATGCAAAGATATAAATAGAACCTAAGAAACCCCCCCCCCCCCAAAAAAAAAAATAAAATAAAGCATCCTTACAGCACTGGTGCCCAATTGCAATGGAATGCTGCCCAGGTAAGGGTGTTGGCAAAGTTAGGGGGGCTTGCATGCTATATGCTTGCCTTCCACGAAGGGGGGGGGGGGGGGATTCGTAGGTGGCTTCTTTCTTTGCCATTTCGGTGTCCAGTTAGACAGATCTACAAATATTTTATATTTGCTGGTAAAACAACTTCAAATTCCTTTTTTATTTTTTTTTTCTTGTGCTGCTTTAATCCAACTTTCTGTGTGAAGGAGGCTACGTTTGTTCTTTACGATCCCATTGTATTTAGGAATGTAGCCACCCTCTGTTGTTTGCTCCTGAGATGGACTATGGGATTTGTAGTGTGCATGGAGCAGTGCGCATGACTTCAACCAAAGTAGACTGCTCATTACAAGCAAATAGAAGTGAGAGGGGGAAAGGAGATGTTGGGGAGTCACAGAGAACATTACAAAGGGGCACAAACCTATTCGTGAAAAATATAATACAGGGCCATTAAGTAGTGGATGTGTATGGAGTATATCTGGTGACTATGGAGATCATTGAGGGGGGAGAGATTTACTAAATCTGGAGAGTGCAAATCTGGTGCAGCATAGAAACCAATCCGCTTCCAGGTTTTATTGTGAAAGGTTAACTGGACAAGCTGACGTTAGAAGCTGATTGGCTCCCATGTACAGCTGCACCAGATTTTGAGTGCACCAGTTTTAGTAAATCTACCCCTAAGCCCTGATTCACACTGAATACTGCTTTGAAATTGTGCGACTTCACTTTTCTCACACAATTTCACACAAGTTACATGTCAGTGCGATTTCAGGTGCGACTTGTAAGCCATCTGTGGGACTTCATGCCCAGATGTCAATGCAAGTCACACCAGAAATCAGCAAAAATAGTGCAAGAACTATTTTTCAAATTGGCGCGACTCCAACGAAGTTGCATCACTGTGAACCAGGGCTCAGTGTCACGTTAATTGTAAGCATGCTGTGACTTGTAGTTCCTCAAAGGTGTTAGGATGCAGGCTCCCACTGGGGGCACGGGGAAGATCATGGAGACATAACTGGGTTTCAGCAGTGAGATTGAGCCATACACTTTGGATCTGATATTGTTTCCAGTGCTTTTGGCCACACGACAGTTTCAGTGTCTCTCGTGTCAGTATGAGCTCTGGAGCATTACTGCGCCGATTACACGCTTCGCCTCACACCCGCAGCCTTTTCTACAGCTCCACTAGAAAATGTGGCCTCTGCAATGGGACATTTTGGCAGCTCAGGTAGCGGAACTGTGCAGCAAGATCATTTTGTGCCGCCTAATACCACTCGATGTGGACCATTTGTTAGAGAACCTTTCTGGGGTAACTGATATTTTCAAGAAATGCTTTTCAGAGTAAAGAAAAAAAAAAAATGAGAAGTTATTTTTCTGCTGGAACATTTTGTATTAGGTCCATCTCTGCCTGCAAGAGTCCAAAATCATCTTATCTGCTAAATTAAAGCTCTGTCAGAGGGAAAGGCACCTGGACATGATGCAATTCCCTATTAAGAAATGTAATAACATTTCAATGTCCAAATTAAAGTAATTGTAAAGGTACATTTTTCCCCATAATAAGCATGCTATACTTACCTGCTCTGTGCAATTGTTTTGCACAGAGCAGCCCCAAACCTTTTCTTTTGGGTTCCTCTGCTGGCGCTCCTGTCTCCTCTTCCTTCTGCTTGCAATTGGGGCACTCTTGCGGGCTCAATCCTGAGCCGGACTGATCTCAGGCACAGCGCTGGATTGAGATCAAATATAAGTATTTAGGGGGAGCTTATCACAAAAGGTTTTTGTATCTTAAAGTGGTTGTAAACCCTTCCATATACCTCAGATGATACACAGAGATGAAACAAATCCTGCTACATAAGTTGTACCTGTTTATCTTCAAATCCATTCATTCATAATTTACAAAGCTTGTCTGAGTTGTCAGAAAATGGGTGGAGAGCGGATATTACACTCTGCAGAACTTAGGTGAGCTCTGAGAGCTGATTGGAGGGAAGGGACCCCCCACCCACCCCTCGACAGAAAAAGAGCCGATACTGTCAATGTGCTGGAGGTTCCTCCCCTGTCACCATTTTTCTCTTGGTGCCAGGAAAACTTGTCAGACGTGGCTCATACAGATAGGGAGCAACAAGGCAGCAGATAGAAATGACACTTAATGCCCTGGCTTGAGACAAGTACATATTAAAGAGGGATATGTTTAGTTCATATTTTATGTCTGAGGTTTACAACCACTTTAATGCATTGCATTTAGGTTGAAAAAAAAACCTTCTGCCTTTATAACCACTAAAATTAGAGTGTAAGTTCATCTGGCACTGCGGTACAGCACTGCGGAATATGTCAGCGCTATATAAATGTAAAATAGTGTGTGTGACTGTGATAGAATTTTAGAGTGTAAGCTCCTGTGGTGCAGACTAATGTGACTGGCTCAGCGTTCTCTGTAAACCATTGCAAAAGATGTCAGAGCTATATAAACGTATAGTTATAGTGTATGACTGTGGTGGGGACATTAGAGCGTAAGCTCCTATGGTGCAAAAACTGATGTGACTGGCTCAGTGTTGTCTGTACAGCACTGCAGAATATGTCACACCTTTATAAACATATAATAGTGTGTGACAGTGGTGGGACTTTAGAGTGTAAGCTCCTCTGATTCAAAGACTAATGTGACTGGCTCGGTGTTCTCTGTACAACACTGCAGAATGTGTCAGAGAGATATATAAATGTTTAATAAAAGTAGTGTCTGACTGTGGTGGTGTCAGATATGTCAATGGAGTTATAATATGCTGCACACATGTATATTATACGAGGGACGAGTGTCTGATACAATGTTGAATATTTTACTCCATGACCTGAAAGCTTTGCTTGTTGGGTAACATTCAGCTTGCTCAGCATCACTTGAATGACCAGTATTGTGTGTATCAGGCAGGCCTAGTTTGGTCCCTCCGGTGGCGCTCTCTATGTTGCCCGGTTATCGGCGAAGGAGATAAAGGTCTGTGTTGAGCGTTTGTTCCCCTCCAGTAGGCATTGTTCTGGTGATAAATCTCTGCACACAACCAGGAATTATTGCATTTTTCATCCGACGGGCTCTCTTATCTGAAGACCTCCCTTTAATAATGGTTTCATGATGTAGCTTGGCAAGCGAATTTCAACTTACGAATAATTTTACCTGTGGAGGAATGGATTGGGACTTATGTAAATTAGATGGGAGTGTAGTTGCTAAGATTTATACCTTCATCATTTTCTCTTCCTGAATGATTGCAGTGTCGGTATGGCCTCTAAATTGTATCGTATAAAGCCGTCACCTTCACAGCCACCCTTATACAATAGAGGGCCATAGATGAATAGTCTCTGCTATTTAATAATGGTAAAAATCATTTGTTTGTGGTGTGGACAGATTGTAGAAGATCTGGGGGTGTTCATTGAAAATTAGACTGGAAGGGATCTGTACATTGTTTGTATTTGGGGCATTCACCTACACCCATACACCTGACCAGTTAGTAGTCTTTCTGAGCAACTGCTGTGTCCCCATATACTTACATGGGCTGCCTGCTCTCAGCACCTGATGGCTCCGGGCCATTAAACAAATGGGAAATTAACGGTGTATGGGCCTAAGCACCCATGTACATGAGGCCTTACAAAGTATTCTTGCATAAAATGGGCATATCAGGGCTGTGATACATTATGATACAGTAACTCCAGGACAGGAAGTGATATGAAACCTAAATGGGGCAATGGGGGCACAGTACAATTCTAACAGATTCTAAATTGTCCCTTTTAGAGAGATTCTTCTAACTTGTTGTCACCACCACAGAAGGTGATGAGGAAGTAGGAGATCACTTTTGGTTTTGTCATTTTCTATTTGTACAAGCTTTAAATAAACACAAAACTAGAGAGAGCAGTTATAACAGCATATAAAATACAACAATGAAAATGAATTACAACAAGATAATACAAATAGGAAGTTCTCCTGAAAGAAAGGCTTTCAGGTAAGTGTTCTAACAGGATCTCACAGTGTCTGGAACATGCTTTGGCATTCCTCTTTAAAGGGAAAGCCGAGTCAAAATGATCATTTAGTAAACAGATAATTAAAGTTATACAACCATGATTTTTCCATGGTGTTGGAATATTGTTCTTATTTTTGTTGTTTTTTTTTTCAGCCTGCGATGAATGGAAAGTTCTACAGAAGCCCAACCTACATCGCGATGTGAATCGTTTTGGCCATTCAGCAGTTGTCAGCAATGGGTAAGTTTGTGTCCCCACCCTCTTACAATGGGAGATTTCCTTCAGTAGTTTGTGTCTCTGCCCCTCCCACAATGGTGAGATTTCCTGCAGTAGTTTGTGCCTCTGCCCCTCCCACAATGGGGAGATTTCCTGCAGTAGTTTGTGTCTCTGCCCGTCACACAATGGGGAGATTTCCTGCAGTAGTTTGTGTCTCTGCCCGTCACACAATGGGGAGATTTCCTGCAGTAGTTTGTGTCTCTGCCCGTCACACAATGGGGAGATTTCCTGCAGTAGTTTGTGTCTATGCCCCTCCCACAATGGTGAGATTTGCCCCAGTAGTTTGTGTCTCTGCCCCTCCCACAATTGGGAGATTTCCTGCAGTAGTTTGTGCCTTTACCTCCTCCACAATGGGGAGATTTCCTGCAGTAGTTTGTGTCTCTGCCCCTTCCACAATGGTGAGATTTTCTGCAGTAGTTTGTGTCTCTGCCCCTCCCACAATGGGGAGATTTCTCTGCAGTAGTTTGTGTCTCTACCTCTCCCACAAAGGGGACATTTCCTGCAATAGTTTGTGTCTCTGCCTCTCCCACAATGGTGAGATTTTCTGCAGTAGTTTGGGTCTCTGCCCCTCCCACAATGGGGTGATTTCCTGCAGTAGTTTGTGTCTCTGCCCCTCCCACAACGGGGAGATTTCCTGCAATAGTTTGTGTCTCTGCCTCTCCCACAATGGGGTGATTTCCTGCAATAGTTTGTGTCTCTGCCTCTCCCACAATGGTAAAATTTGCTCGTAGTGGGTGTTTCTTGAATCTAGCAGTTAATGATCTCTAGTAATTATATAAATGTTAAGGACATTGATTTAAACTGGTTTGTTGAGTTTTGATTTTAGACCTTTATTGCAGTTACAGTGCGCTCTGCATACGACAAAGGAAGGCAGCTTTCACACCGTTGATTAGAGTTTATTTTGCATGAATATCCCTTTAACGGCAGTATAAGTTTGGCACTCCTTGGGGACATCTATATTCTGCTTCTTCAGTGTATTAAATAAAATAATACCCTTTCCAGTATTTGGTTATTAACAAAATCACCTTGAAGCAAAATTAAAACCTGGTGTACATAGCCAATCTCACTTCTATATGTTCAAAAACTACCAAAACCGATATATAAAAGGCACATAAAGGTACATACAAGGATTGTTATGTAGCCTATAGCAAGCCTCAGGGAAGCATTCACATGCAGTTAGTGACTTCAGCCAATGACTTTGACTTCACCCACTTCTGTAATTTAAACCAGCTATTCCAATCTGTAGAAGGGGGTCACCATACATGTTATAATCTGACCAAACATCCTTTGTACAATCACTTTTATTTTTTACCAAAACTTTGTACTATGAGGACCTGTCTAATTTAATCAATCAGTTTGTATCTAATCGGGGGAGTCCCTCACACGCCATAGTTGTTGGTAGATATAAAGGGTATTGTACAATTAGATTATAATTTGTATGGTGATCTTTAAGCTGGCCATGTACTGAACAAATTTCAGCCAGTTCCTGATGAACCAGCCAAAAATTTGTTCAGCGGGTGCCTATTGGCTACCTCCCACCTGACATCCCTCGTAAAAATTAGTGGCCAGAAAGAGCTTGCATCCAATCTGATTGGGTATTTTGAGAGCTGTAGGGTTGGCTATCAGAAAACAAACTGTGTAGTGTGGTTGGATGAATCAATTCGGTGGATCGATACAGGACCACAGGTTAGTATTTAGGGATGGAAGATGGAGGAACATCTAGTGGAAGGTTTTTTTTTTTTTCCCCCTGCAATCCATATTAACTTGTGACTTCGTGCCAAAAACAGTATTGTGAAATAATAATGTGTTTTTTTACCATTAAAATGTATGTAGAATTAAAGCTGTCACCCTTTGAATGTAATAAATACACTCCATCTAATACGTGTATATTTGCATCCAACCAATATTGTTATATAGATATATGCCACATATAACAAAATACAAGTGATACAAGTGTGTACGAATGCCCTTTTATCAAGAGTCCTTTCCACATACGTATATCTTCAACAATCTTCTTATGTTCCACCTCCAAAAACTAAGCCACCAGAACTGTGCTCATGAATATGAATCACTCACCAGACCAGAATGACCTCAATCAAAAAGTAGGTAATCAAACGCTTCTTTGCGTTATGTTACTCCTCCACTTGCACCAAGGTTGAAGATCTGTGTTCTATTGAAACGTCTCCTCTCCACCATAGAAACCAAAAAATAACTATCTAAATCTAAATAAAGGCCTGGCGCTTCACAACAAAGAAAAAATTATATATACCAAATTATGTTTGTGAGCAGTTCATAAATAATCAAAAGTCCCACACCAAATAGTGTGCCAAAGATTCTTCTAGTGCTTACTATACAGTATATCTTCATGCGATTCCTCCTTGTGCTCCACCACCATGTGCCAAAACATTGCACTCACCAATCATCCATGACCCCTTACTTAAAAGAGAAGGTCAGTTACACTTTGTGTCACCAGGGTTTATATTCTCAGTGTGTTTTCCTCTCTATATTCTCCCCATTTGGTTCTACAGTTTCAAATCACCATGAATCAGAAAAGAAAATTATCATGGTGTAGTAAGTTTATTAAAAATTAGTTTCCATGTAAACATCAAGGTGCACTTAACATTTGTTGGTGCCCAATCCTCGGCACTAATGCACTCAGCTTTACTGCACCACCACCGTTCCTCACCCTGGAGTCGACGTGCGTTCCAATGGCCAGAACTGGAAGTGACATCAATGGACCTGGATGTAACATTTGGCCTCTACATGTTTCGCCAATCTGGCATCCTCCGGAAGCAATAAATCATTCTTGGGTAGTAAGAGAAGGTGCTCAGTTACATTCACATAAAAAAAATAACTATATTAGTGTATTTTGGTTATATGTGGCATTGTATATTTATATAACATTATTGGTTGGATGCAAAAGTGCATTTCTTAGATTAAGTGTAACACTTCCTAGAATCCATCTGCCCTTTGGCTGAGCTGAGAACCCTCCCTCCCCTCCTGAAGATTCCTGGGATTTATGACATCAGTTGCCTAGGCATGGAATTGCATCTATTTATCAATGCTAGCAGAATAAATATTAAATAAAGATAAATAGTCCATGTTGATTGAGAGAGTGAAGTTCCGCTTTAATGCACGTAATGCATTAGGCAGTGGTCTCCAAACTGTGGCCTGGGGGCCAGATGTGCCACTTTGCTTGCCTTTATCAGGCCCTTGGGGCACAATTCCACCACTGATACAAGGCACTGTTCCTTCTAAAGACACCAACAATGGGGTATATTTACCGTTACTGATACCAAAAATAGGGCACAATTCCTACCAATGACACCAATGATGGAGCACTATTCCTCCCACTGACACCAATGATGGGGCACTATTCGTACCACTATTCGTACCACTAACACCAATGTTATTGAACTATTCCTCCCACACTGACACCTATGGTATGGAACTTTTCTTCCCACTGACACCAATGATGGGGCACTATTCCTTTCCCTGACACCAATGATGGGGCACTATTCCTCCCACTGACACCAATGATGGGGCACTATTCCTTTCCCTGACACCAATGATGGGGCACTATTCCTTCCACTGATACACCAATGATGGGGCACTATTCCTTTCCCTGATACCAGTGATGGGGCACTATTTTTTACTCTACTACCAACAGTGGATCACTATTCCTCCCATCAATACCAGTGATGAGGCATTGTTTATTCCCATTGACGTCGAGGCATTTTCTAATCACACTGGCCCCCTCAAAGTCTGAAGGACCGTCCCTTTGTTCAAGTTTGGAGACCCATGCATTAGGGTAAAAAAAAAAATTTGGCTTTAAAAGCACTTTCAGTTCTTTTAACCCTTTTTTAGAAACTGTGTAATTTTTTTCTAGCTTTGCTAAAGGGAGCTGTTGTATTGAATCTAAATCATAAAGCATGTTGGATCTATAATGCATAGGATTTTGAAAACAAATTTGTTCTGGACTTTATATTTAAACTTCTGTCCAGGCCTGCACAGTTGTACAGGCTCCAGTCTTGTACTGAACGGGATCACTCTGATTTCACTGCACACTGTGAGATTCTCAGAATGTGCATTAAAAGCTGCAGAAGTCAGAAAGAGCCCACCTCATTTCTTGGCTAGAGAATGCCCATCATCAGCCTTTCCTGCCAAACCTGGCTGTCCCAGGCTCGTCCTGTCATTCACTAGATTTTAGTTCTTTCAATCATGGAGGCTCAGCATCACATGTGGGCGGTTCTTAGGATGGTCTGCATGCAAATTTAACCTGCCTAGGAAAACCCATTCCTCCAGACTGACATCCACCCATCAAGACATTTTGATATATGCTTAAGGCCTCCCAAGAGCCATCCCACTGCTTGCATCAGGGCTGAGGGCTCTTGAGAGGAGTACTAAGCAGAGTGCTGTGATGTTTTCAGGAAGCTATATATAGCACCCTTCTGGCCCCTCCCACCAGCCATGATCTGCATGGTCTGCATAGCATAGAGAAGCTTAGAGACTCAGTGATTACATCTGAGAATAAAATAAGGTATATAATGAAAATAAAAAGGTTTTATATGAACACTATATCTAGCATGTTAATAGAAAGGGGAATGGGGGGCCAAGGAAGGCAAAATATAAGGAGATTACATTCCAGCTATAATTGTTTCGTTTGGTGATTTCATATTTAAATCATTTGTATTATAAGCCTGAGTTGCTGGAGTTTTTAAATCTTCTTCACTGCAAATTTTAGAGAAAAACAAATCTTTTGCTGAAACTCGACTTTAAGATTGATCAGAGAAGAAAGTGCTTTCTCAGGTTCCTGAAGTGAGTGCTGAGCTTTGCTGTCCGCTGATGAATGAGCTTGTAGGGCGCACACAGAAGGTTGATATGTAAATGAGCTGAGATGTCACCTGAGCTGACTCCAGCCTGTTATCAATTATCAGAATCGATTATCATTGCCTCGGGTTCAGGAAACATTGATAAATGATAGCCGATGACTTTGACAAATGTATCTGACAGCAGCAAGACACAATTCTTATTAAAGGCGGATTTGGAGGAAGTAATAAATAACATGCGAACTCCACCTGGAGTGTCAACAAAAATTCATTCTTACATGAAATCTGTCAGATGTAAATACCCAACTGACAAGATAACTGCAAAGCTTTTAAATATTTTAGTGTGTATATGTGTTTTTTTATTAAGTTTGATTATTCAGTCATATTTGGAACTACTGTGTTGTATTTGTAACTGCTTATTTATCTTCTATTTATCTATTTTTTTCTGTTGATTAGATCCAAATTCTTAATGTAGGACTGGTTAAAATCATCCTTGCACAAACTCTTCCTCACAAAGGTTTACAGAAAGTAATCATAAAATGCCTACACATGGATATTATTGTAGATCTGATAAGAATACATAAAAGATTGGTTTATTGACTCCCACTTGAAATAACATTAGCAAGGATCTATCTATCTGTCTGTCTATCTATCTATCTATCTATCTATCTATCTATCTATCTATCTATCTATCTATCTATCTGATCTTTCCCCTTTTCTTTCCTCTTTTCCTTTCTTTCCCTTTTCCTCTCTTTCTCTTTTCCTTTCTTTCCCTTTTCCTCTCTTTCTCTTTTTCCTTTCTTTCCCTTTTTCTCTCTTTCCCTTTTCCTCTCTTTCCCTTTTCCTCTCTTTCCCTTTTCCTTTCCTTGCTTTATCTTGTTTTTTATCTATTGGTTTGTACATATCCATTGTAAATTAATTTTATATTCTTCTGTAAGAAAAACAGTCCTTTCTCTTACATGACCTTACGTTATAATGTCATTTACTATATTTCTGTATTACGTTACCTGTACTTACCCTTGTATCTGTTCTTTTGTACAGCACCACTCTAGATGATGGTACTATGTAGATATTTTATTATGATGTAGTAAAAGCAGTAGTACTCTTTATCACATGACTCAACATTATAATATCATCACACACATTTTCCTGCTTCTCTAACCACAGCAGAGCTGGGTTTTCATCTTATAAAATCTTGGTTTGTCTCCCTGCAGGTCAATGTACATATTCGGAGGATTCTCCAGTGTACTCCTGAATGACATCTTAGTGTACAAACCTCCAAGCTGCGAGGCCTTCCACACCCAGGAGCAGTGCACTGGTGCCGTACAGGGGATCAGCTGTCTGTGGGACCGCGGTCACTGTGTCTCCTGGGAGACCGCACATGCCAGCAGCACCCTTTTCCGTGCTCATTGCCCAAATAAGTCTGGTAAGTTAGTGGTCTGCCTTGGGCACTTATCTGTCTACCATATTGCCAGACTCAGCTTTGCAAACAATCTAGTGAGATGTGAAAATGACAGTCATATGGCTAAAATGAAGATCCTTATCCTTGTGTAAAGTTTTATGCACTGAGCCTTGTATATACAAGCCATTAACTTACATCGGTTGCAATGGTGCAATTTACAATAAATACATTTATAATTTTTTTTTTTTCCTTATCTGGCATTGGTCTTATCCACATTTAAAAATGATTGTGTAGACAGTTAGCTGGACTGAATTGCTGTCAAAGCTGACCTTATAGTTTGCAATGAGATTGCACAATGTCTTTTAGATCAACCAAAAGGTATGCAGCTACGGGGCCTGCCTGATTGGATGCAGATTGATTGGGTTGTTTATAGGGCCACATCACACAGGCAGGAAGGCCTAGACAGCTGGTGGTAGTAGGGAATTCTATAATCAGAAGGACTTATAGAATAATTTGTCACAAGGATCGCCTCAACCGAATGGTTTGCTGTCTCCCTGGTGCCAGGGTTCAGCAAGTGGTGGACCGGGTTGATAAATTACTGGGAGGGGCTGGGCATGACACAGCTGTCTTGGTTCATGTTGGAACCAATGACAGAATACATGGAAGGTGGAGGCTCCTTAAGAATCAAATTAAAGAACTAGGCTGCAAGTTGAATTGAAGGACCTCCAAGGTAATATTCTCTGAAATAGTACCTGTGCCATGCGCAACTCAAAAAAGACAGGGGGTGATTAGAGAACTCAATGCATGGCTGAAGACCAGGTGTAAGAGGGAAGGATTTGGTTTTCTAGAGCACTGGGCTGACTTTTCATTGGGGTGCAACCTATATGCTAGAGATGGTTTGCACCTAAATGGAAGGGGGTCTGCTGTGCTAGGGGAGAGGTTTATGGGAAGGCGGGAGGAGTATTTAAACTCGGATCAAGGACGGAGGAAGAATTAGATTATAACGGGGTAGACAGATCAGACAGGGGCCAGTACTTATTGGTGGGTGGAATGGGGACAGATGGGGGGAAGGCTATGGCAGATAAGAAGGTTCCCATGTTACAAACAACCAGTGGAATTGGTACCATTTGTTTGAAAAGAAAAAATATGCAAAATGCATGTGAACAAGGTGTTAATGTTTTAAAGTGTTTTGTTCACCAATGCCAGCAGTCTGCCAAGCAAAATAGGTGAGTTGGAAGATTTGGTGCATGAAGAGTACTATGATTTAATTGGTATTGCTGAATCTTGGCTTCATTCTTCACATGACTGGGCCATTAATATGCCTGACTATTTTCTCTTTCGGAGAGACAGGGTAAATAGGAAAGGTGGTGGTTTCTGTCTTAATGTGAGAAGTGATCTCAGAATGAGTGTGAAAGAGGATCTAGTTGATGGAGAGTGTGATGAGGCTGAAGTATTATGGGTTGGCCTGCACATGGGGGTGCATAGTACAAAGGTAATCATTGTAGTTTGTTATAGGCCTCCCAGTGTTAATGAGGAGGTGGAGACTCACCTCCTTGCACAAATCAAAAGGGCTGCAAGGGCTGGGACAGTGATAAAAATGGGGGGATTTTAACTACCTGGAAATTGACTGGAGTAATGGGACTGCAGGAACAGTTAAAGGGCAAAAATGTTTAAACCTGCTACAGGACAATTTTATGATAAAGTTCATAGAGGCCCCAACTAGGAATGATGCTCTGCTGGACCTGGTAATCTCAAACCATGCAGAGCTTATTACGAATGTCCATATAAAAGAACATCTGGGTAGCAGTGACCATAACATGATTTCATGTATTGTTAGCTGTAAACAGCGAGCACATACGGGAAAAATAAAAAGGATCAATTATAGGAGTGCTAATTTTCCAAGGCTGAGAGCTGCTCTCCAAGACTTAGACTGGGAAGGAATATTGGCATCCATGAACACAACTCAGAAATGGGAATTCTTCAAAAATACTGTATGTGAACACATTGCAAAATATATTCCCATGGGCAACAAGTTTAAAAGGCTAAAAATCAAACCTATGTGGCTTACGGCCAGAGTTAAAAAAGCTATAGATAATAAGAAAAGAGTTGTTATTAAATATAAAAATGAAGGAGCGCTATCATCATTTAAACATTACAAAAAATATAATGGAATATGCAAAAAGGAAATAAAGGCCGCAAAAATTGAAAACGAACGACAGATTGAAAAAGATAGCAGGACCAACCCCCCAAAAATTCCTCAAATAAATTAATAGTAAAAAGGTTC